TTCCCCTTCCCGGCAGCCGCCGTGGCGTACTCGAAGCCCCGTTTGGCCACGTTCTGGTACTACGCCAAGGTGGAGCTGGCCCCGCCGACCCCCGCCGAGATCCCCCGGGCCATCGACAGCATGAAGGCCATGGTCAGGGGCTTCCAGACCGGCCGCCTGGCGCAGCTCACCGTCAAGGTAACGGAGGGGCCCGGGGGGCGCGGCGTTCGTTCCAGGCACGGTCTCCCTGCCCCTACCCCTGCCCGGGCGTTTTCTGCCCGAGATTGGCTCGGAGGCTCTTTGGCACGTCACGGTGACCCGAGAGGTGTCCCGTTGCCCCAGTGCTCTGATTTTTATTTTTTGTTTCCTGAGGTTTTTCTGCTCCCCGCAGAGAACCCGGGTCAGGCTGCTTTCCCCCTCCTCCTCCTTCTCCGAGTAGCAGCGAATCCCCACGGCGCTCCCTGCAAACCTGCCCGCTGGAATCGACGCGCGCTGCGCTGGGTTTCTGTCGCCTGCATTCCAAAGATGCGTTTCCTTTGGTGCCAGGCTTTCAAAATGTTATACGTTTACAAAAATTTACCCGCTTTTTCCTGGATGAGCCAAGGAATAGGCGAGCTCTGCAGCCTTTTCAGGTCCTGCTGACTATTCTACCACTGAGGCTGTACCCAGCGTTTTGGAACCGCCTTAACAGCGTGGTTTGTTGGGGCGCAGCTCAACACGAGAAACACCCCGTTGCACTTTAATTATTTTTTTTTTTCTTTTCTGAAACCGTTGCCTTGCGAATTGGTTCACTGCTTTGCTAGTCGTACCTGGAGCTCGATTACAGGAGCGAGGAGAAAAGCTGTGGCAGGAGCTGACAGTCTAACTGGTGGCTTTTTTGTTTTGTTTGTTTTTTTCTTTCAGGAAGCGCTGAGGAACGGTCTGGTGGCCACGGAGGTGCTGATGTGGTTTTACATCGGGGAGATCATAGGCAAGGGCGGCCTGATCGGGTACAACGTCTGAAGGCTCACCCTCAGTAACGCCGTGGGTCCCGAGTCTGTAACGGGGGTCTGTGACAATAAAGCCAGGAACCGATGTCGAGCTTTCGTGGTCTTTTGTGGCGGTTGGGGCGCGAGCCGAGCGGTGCCCCGACCCGGGCCCGCTGCCGGCGGTGGAGGTCGGCTCCTGGGAGGGGAGCCTGAAGGCCGGTCCCCTGAGGCGGCGCTTTGACGCCATTTTCCGTTGCCGCACCTGGGCTCGTTCTTTGGACAGCCGCCGCGCCTGGGCTACAGCGTTAGGGGAGGCACGAGAGCCCCGGGTTCAAACCGAGAGCGCAAATGCTTTCATTTCTTTCTGAACGTATTTCACGTCAGCGAGCGGGAACCAAAAAGAAATGCCGGTACTTTATTTACGCTCCCAAAAGCTCTCTGGCGTGGCTTATGTCGTAGAGGATGTAGCAGTGTTCCGCGCGCTTCTGCTGGTTTGGGGTGCGGCTTGTTGAGTGGAAAACTTTGAAGGTAAGCGGAGCTTTGCTGTATGCGTCACCTTAGCTCGCCACTGGCTGGGGGGGGAAAAGAAATCCACAAGCTTGCTTGTTTTCCACAAGCTTTTATGTAGAGGTGCATACAAAAACCTGGTGAGGTCACCCGCACTCGAACGTGTGTTCAGAAAATAACAGTAGAAGGAGTTCTCTGAAGCCAAGCAGTCCTGTTGGGGTAGGACCTAACTGTTTTTATTGTCTTAGAAGATGGTTCCTGGTCAGTATCACTTCTCGTTGATGCTGTCACCCTATCAGCTGCTCCTTTGCTCCTCTGGGCCTTGTGTTTGGCTCCCCGGTGAACCCGCAGCCCCCCTGGCTTGGCTGCCCCGAGTGACCCCAACGTCTCCGGGGCGGCTGCGCCAGTAGCACGGCGATTTCTCTTCTCCCTGCAGCAGAGCCGACCTCCTCGATGCTTCATCCCAGTGAGAGGCCTCTTGGATTCCTGACGGGTAGCACAGGTGAGCTCACACGCTTCCTGTTCGGTGACCGGAAAGTCATCAGTGGCCGCAGAGGTCCTGAAGAAACTTTTATACCTGTGGCTTGCTGGGTGCTCCTCTGTGCTGCCAAGGACTTTGACGCCTTCTCGCAAAGGGCACCGGCAAACCTAACTGGGGCTGCAGCCAAACGCCCTGGCTGAGCGGCGGGCGCACGTGCCGGCGAGGGTGAACAACGGCCCCGAAAACTGCCTCTCCCTGGGACCTCTCCCCTCCTGCCTTCACGAACCAGCAGATAAATACCAGTGAGGGGAACCCCCCCGGGCCCCTCAGTGGGGGTCTGCAGTCCGTATTCCTTAATAAGAGACAGACAAGAGAGGGCACACGGGATTTAAAGCACGACCTTGATCTGCAGAAGGTTTCTGGACCCAAGAGAACCTCCCTGAGAGAGCAAGTCTGCCTGATCGCGCTCAAAGGCCTGCCCGCCCTGTGCGACTTGTTCCTACCTGCACGTACCGCTCTCACAGGGCCGGCGTTCGGGAGCGGGGCCCCGTGCCGCAGCTCGCACAGCAGCACCGGGTCGCGGGGGCTGTCACACTCTCTGAGTTGGGAGGATTGGATTAAACTCGACTAGCGTTGCAGGGGAGAGCTTGGAGACGCTCCAGTCCCTTTCACACTCCCTAGAGACACAGAAACCATCTAATTTTAGTTGTCCTCCCTGGAAGTCCTCGTGAGAAGCCACCCTAGCCCTGCTCACAAAGCAGAACCAACCCTCCTCCCCGGTGGCGCATCTAGTGTGAACTAAGCAGAAGCGGCATCCGCAAACGCGATGGGCTCCAGAAGCTTTTCCGTCCTCTGTAACATCACGGACGTTGTTCGGTTGCTTCTGTAAGGGGCAAACAGCCTTTTTCCCTCCTCAGTCACTCCCTCCCGTCGGTTGATGAGCTTTAAAGGAAACAGGTATTTCTGTTCCCCAAATAGAAGGGTTTTATGACTGATGCTCCTGTGTTTGCAGTGTTGTTTTTCTCAGGGAAGGCAACGGGCACTTGTTGGATTTTTTTAACCCCGTTCTTGCTGTGCCGTGCAAGATGGAGGCAAACCTGCGGGCGCGAGTGACGCCGGGGACCGGAGGGAGCTGCTTGGCCTAGTGCCATCGCCGTTACCTTCTTCCTGGAGATGGCACCTGGCGGGACGCTGACCCGGCCCGGTAGGCAAACGGGGCGAGGGGGTGCAGGTAGAAGGTGGAGGGGAAGGGCAGGCCCTGAGCTCCGCACCGGCCCCGGAGAA